TTTGGCACCCAATCCCGTGGTTTTTTTCTCAAAGTAACTTGAAATATGAAAATCAGCACAGAAGGGATAGTATGAAAGAAAAGAGCTTCACAACAAGCCCTCGCTGATCTCTGAAGTTACAGACACTCTGGAGTGACTAATGTCACAGCAAAAGCACTGAAATGATAGCTCCTCTGCCCTTATTTTCTCTTAGGCTACATTCAAATGAAGTGATGCCATGTTTGGTCATTTTTTGCTGTTTTTTTGTGGGTTTGTACATGCAATTTTTGTGTCTTTTTCACATGTTTTCCATTGAGTGTCTTTGTTTTAGCCAATGGAAACCTAGTTACTTACTAGGAGGAGGAGAGATTGTTATGTGTAAAATCACTAAACAAAATACACGTTATGTGCATTGTTTGGTGCCCCCATTTATGTCTATTGGGGCTCCTGTACTTTTTCTGAGCATTTAGGGACAGCGCATCGCTCAGACGTGAACAGGCACAAAAGAGTACCATGGAAATCTAAGCGTTGAGTGTTGAACTGCTTCTGGAAACATGTATCAACTCGCTCAGTTGTGATAAGAGGCTTACAGGAAAAAGATGGCAGTCTGTCATCCTTCTAATGTAAACAAACAGTAGGCGCTTGTAAGCTGTTAGAAACCAACTGAAACCCGACTTCAGAGTCTCCATTGTGATATTTTATGATCAAATTCTTCACAGTACCTGCAGCTGTAGAGGCCACTCAGGCCAGTGAGGACTTGTTTTAAAGATTCTACTGCTTGTTAGGCGGTATTAAACCATTTGCACTCAATCCAAAACTAGAAAAAAAAAGGTTGTGCATGGCGTTCTTCTTTAGGCACATTCTGGTCTTGCCTTCTTAGTCTACTTCCTTTGTGATTCCCAATAAATTCAGAGTATACTGTAATTATGAAAGGAGCAACACTTCTGGTGGCTTTTAATGAATTATAGGGTCAAAGTTTGAATGTTTGTACAGAGCAGATAATAGGGTAATTGTATCTGTTTGTGTTCTTATATATTAGGAAATACTTTGTAAAGTGTATCTCTCTTTCTCCCTTTCACTCTTTCTCTCTTTCACATTCTCCATCTTTTTTCTCTCACCTTCTCCCCTGTCTTTCTCTCTCTCTCTCTCTCTCTCACCTTCTCCTCCATCTGTCTCTCTCTCTCTCTCTCACCTACTCCCCTGTCTTTCTCTCTCACTTTATCTGTCTGTCTCTCTCTCTGTCTTCATCTGTCTTTCTCTCTGACCTTATTTCTTATTTGCCCATCTCTCTCAGTCTTTCTCTTTCTCTATTTGTATAGCTTTCTCTCTCTGACGCATACACCTACTCTCTCCTCCTCGTCTGTCTTTCTCTCTCTCTATGTACCCCTCCTTTTCTCTGTCCCTTTTTCCTCTCCCTTTTTACTTCCCCTCTCTCGCCTATTCTCTCTCTCTCTCTTTCATTCTCTATCTCTGTCTTTCTCTCTCTCTCTCTCTCTCTCTCCAGTGACTCATCCAGCCCCAGTGACTTCTGAACCTTAGGAAGACAGAATACAATTATATGACAGTAATTGGGTCCATTTGTCATCAACATTTTAATTAACTACAGCCTTAGATGTGTAAAGGAAACCTGTGCGCAGCGCGTACAGCAACCATACCATTATATACAATCCTCAATTATTTTCTCAAAGATTTCATTTTCCTTCCTGGGGATACATTTTCTTATCTTAATTTGAAACACAATACTGCGGCAAATCAAGAGAATTTCTGAGACTTTGAAATAACATGTATAAAAATGTGTGCTAATTCAGGAATGCTGTGAAAGAAGCGATGGTGGGGTACAAAGAGCAGAAACCTCTAGCAACCAGTCATAGTTCATGTTACTGTAATGTGAACATTGATTATGATGAGCTGTTAGTGAGTCACTGCACTTTACACATGACTCATTGCTTGATTAAATGAATCTGATTATGCGTTAGATTTGCATAACCGGTAGATACAAGCTGTTGTGTTAAGATGGTATTGAAATGTGTGCAAATAAAGAACTGTCCATTACTGGCTCTGCAGAGATTCCTATTTGGAACACATGCAAATGCACGTAAATGCGGCTAAACCTGCAGGTGCATCTAAACGCAGGAGAAAGTGATCTAGAAGCATCTAGCTCCTCAATCAGCAAAGTTCATGATCCCTGCTGATTGCAGAGCTCTGCTTCTGACTCAGAAGGGGAAAAGCTGAACCTTTGCAGAGAGACAACTGCTTCCACACAAAGATCAAGGATCCTTCTCTACAGCATGCTGGAAGGGGACAGGCTTTTCTGCTTAGGCTGTGTCTGCTAAAGATAAAGTACTGTAAGACTTTGAACACTTTTTGTTCTGATATACATGAAATATATTTAGCTGATGGAAACTAAAAATTCAGCTGGGTCTCAGGTGACAGGGTCAGTTGAAAAATAAAAACATCTGATCATTGGCCTAACGTTTATTTCATTGCATCTCAGAGGTTTTGTTTCTGTGTGATAACAGTAATAGCACAAACAAGCAATAAACTGTTGTGTTAGAAGTCTATTTAAGGTTCTACAAGGGAAAACAGAATTGACAATACTTCACTCTGACATGTATTGGACCACGTTCACTAAGCTACACAGCACATTAATTCATCTGACAGCCTGAGACCTAATTGAGGAGATGATTCAGGTAATAACAGGCAATATATTGTCAGTGTGTACTTAGGAGCCAAAATATTCCCATCCAAGGTTAGCTACACATCATGTGTATTACTGAGCTGTCCAAACAGTAATAACTTACAATAAGTCTCAATAGGATATTGCTCTGACTTGGCAGATAGGGAAACGTCAATTCACAAAGAAGGAAATTAACATTTCCGAGTTCTCACCAGCAGAGCTGTATTAACCATAAAGCCGGTGTTGGCCACGGACTATAGCAGTGGGGTAAGGCGGTGGGTGGCAGTGGCAAGCCTTAAAACTCACAACCGGTCATAGCCTTTCCTTTATATTGTTTCCTTCTTCTGACCACTATGTAGCTACATTCAGCAAGAGACTCACAGTATAAGGGGAAGGGGGGATGCTGAGTCAGAAAGCTCTTTGTAATTCAGATAATATCAAACCATGTCATCTTTATTTTGTTTGGTGGTCTTTAAAGTGCCCCCAACACCACATTCTGTCAGTAGTTTTTTTTTACTAAAACAAGAGCTTTACAAAGATCCACTTCATTCGGGTGTGCAAAGGACAGCAGGATGTCTAATTACAGTCTAATAATTCAACAAATGCTTATGAAACTGTGTGTGTTAACCTAAGTAGTGTTAACATGTGTTGTCATCCATTTCACACACTTTGCATTTATAAAAGACCACATTTTGAAGGGGGAAATACAGGTCAGTTCAACAAAAATGCGTAATGTGGGACTTTCTGCTAATGCACCTCAACACAACCCATTACTGCTGAAAGAATGAATTTTCTATTCTCCATGTATTATGCCTGTGTTGGGAAATTCGGCAAAATGCATCAGGAAATCTGCGGCGAGAACTAGTCCTCAGTCACACATTTCATATGCCTATAAAAAATGTATGCTTGTTATAAATAATATCTAAAGAAAAATAACCCTGCAGCCACATTGCAAAATTCAATAGGTTGTACTACTCCAATAAAGCTTTATGCATATTGTAGGTTCAAAACAATTACGTTAAAGGAGGAGTCCAGGCAAAACGTAACTCAGTAGTAACTATATACAGCCAAAAGCTGTGCAAACTAAACTTTGATTTTTAGATGCACTGTTTGGAAGAAAAGATAATGGTTCCATCAAGTTTTGGGATGACCACCAAAGAAGGGCACGTTGACCACCAATGTAATGGGGCACACTGAACACCACTGCAAGGTGCATACTGACCACCAATATAAGGGGGCACACTGACCACCAATGTAAGGGGAACACTGACCTTCAATGTAAGGGGCACGCTAGCCACCAATGCAAGGGTGCACACTGACCACAAATGTTAGGGGGCGCATTGACCACCAACATAAGGGAACACTTACTGCTGAACCCTGCAAATAGTGCTGTCTAATTACATAATCCTGACCCCTGTTACATAGACCTGACTGCTGCACTCTATACACTATATAACCCTGATCACTGACCTTAATATGCTATGTTGTATGCTACATACTCCTGACTAATACACTTTATATGCTACGTTGTGCCATACATAGTCCTGATCATTGTATTCTACAGTATATGCTATGTTGTATTTGACATAGTCCTGACCTGTCCACACTATGCACCATGTTGAAGCCATCATTAGGCACAGGGGCCAGAAAGTTCTGCTGAAATCGGAGGCTTCCCAGCCAGGCATGTGTTCAGCCTGAAGAACTTTACTTGTAATGAATTATTGCAATCTGCATATGGTTCTCTTATTTGGTAAAGGAACACTGTTGTAAGATAAATATGGAGGGTGCCATTGCTGCTCTCCTTCTGGCAATTCTATTTGTCTGTCTGTCTCTGGCTTTGCTAGATTGAGTAACTCACCTGAAACAAGCTTGCAGCAACCAACATTAGCCTGAACCAGATCTTCTGTTCTGCATACACGTTGCAGGTCAGTGACTCAGAAAGCACTGAACACAATAGATCAGAATATCAGCCAGGCAACTAACTTTTTTGGAAGGAGAGGCTGGTAATGGCAGCCTCTATATTTACTAAGTAATTAGATTTCCTTTAAATGATATAACTTATAGCTTAAACATTTCTATAAGCTAAACACTGACAAACTGCAAAGAAATGCATACTATATAAACTAAAACACTGTAGAACGTGTTAGCACCACATATGAATGAATACAATAAAACATGATTATATAGTAACAGCACAAGAAGCCTTAACTTTCCACAATGTCTCTCTTTTTCAGACAACAGCCGTGTTATTGGGATCTTTTCTCTCTAATATTTAGCTGCCTCCCCCTAAGCGTAACATCACAATATCAGCATGACAAATATATAGAAAAGTATGATTACATACCATTTCTTCCTGTCTGCTTCCTTTATCAAACGGGGCCGCATTAACTGTATTGGAAAAAAAAATCATTTGTTACACAGTATATATTATTGTAATAAAATTATATCAACATAATTTTTTAACACGTTATTTTTAATCTGAACCAGCGTTTGGGCAAGATCTGGATTTTAAAAACAAATCATAATAGCAAAAGTCCAGAGAAGTAATGTGTATGATGCCAGAGAAGGGTCTATCCTGTCTATAAAAAATATTATTATTATATCATTATACAGGATTTATATAATGTCAACAGTTTGCGCAGTGCTTTACAATATAAAGGAAGACATTACAGTTACAATACAATTCATGACAAGATGGTGAGGAGAGCCCTGCCAGTGAAGGCTTACAATCTAATAGGAAGGGGCAAGTGACACAAAAGGTGGTAGCCGGGATGGGGATGAGTTGTTTTAGAGAGTAATTGTTTATCAGTTAGGTGGAGGCTTTCCTGAAGAGATGAGTTTTCAGGGATCGCCTAAAGGCAGACAGAGTAGAAGATAGCCAGAGAAGTTGTGATAGAGAGTTCCAGAGGATGGGAGAGGCTCTTGAGAAGTCCTGGAGGAGAGCATAGGAGGAGGTGATGAGGGAGCTATAGAGCAGGAGATTTTGGGAGGAGCAGAGGGGACGGTTAGGGTAATACTTTGAGACAAGGTTGGAGATACATCCGGGGGCAGAGTTGTGGATGGCTTTGTAAGTGGTTGTTATGGAAGTGGAAGCCAGTGGAGTGGTTGGCAGAGTGGGGTTGCAGACACTTAGCGGTTGGTTAGGTGAATGAGTCTAGCAGCAGCATTCAAGATAGACTGAAGGGGGGATAGCTTGAGTAGAGGTAGGCCAATGAGGAGGTAGTTGCAATAGTCGATACGAGAGGTAACAAGTAAGTACCCTTTTGGTTTCATTATTATGGTTCATATATTTCATAATTATGGTTAATATGAATCCTCCTCAAGACTAACAATCAATTCAACTTTTTTTCAGTGGTGTTCAGTTTTCAGTTTGGCTGAAACTGTTCCCAAGGATAACCCCACATAGTCACCACATCCTAGGATAGTCACCACATCCTAGACATACAAGTAAACGCAGACAACCAATCTGTATTAGTTGTACTTACAGAATACCTGCCGGCTGCAGCAATTTAACACTTGTTTGCAGAAACATAAGCCCTACAATGTGTGAGAATCAACACTTCCAAGAGTGTCAGATTGGAAGACTTCAGTGGCATCTGTTGGATCATGTCTCCCCACTGTCCATTCTCTAGGTTCTGCTTTTTGCTTGTAAATATCTTTTGGGAAGCTATGAGTATTATCTGTGTTCCAGATTTCCCAGCTCTATGCTAGGTAGAAGTCTTTCCAGTCATTGCTATGAGCCGGGGCCAAGTGTGGGCAGTACAGCACCAAACCATCACTGCTGAATGCCTCACGGATCGTAGCAGATGAGAGATGTCTGCATACTCCAGTATAGTTGTTTGATGAAGAGAAAATATTGGGGTCATTTATTTTCTCCCGCCCCACATTTACTTCCTTCTCCTGTCACTCTGTTTGCTTCTTGGGAGAAAGAAAAGAGTTCCCTGTATCAGAGCTTACACAGTGCTCAGGACTCTCTCTCTGCCCCCGCCTCAGGACTCTCTCCCCCACCCCCATGTGACAGTGCTTGACCAATCACCAGGCAGTATCACTGACATGTCGGAGACAGGGGGTCAAATGGTCCTGCATACTGGGAAGCACTGGGTATTATCTCCTGGCAGCTGAACAGAGCAGTGGGAAGAAAAGGAAAGGTGAGTATAAAGCCCATGACACACTGCATACTAAGCGGCGCGCAGCAAAGGGAAGCTGCGGCATGTAGACCTACACCTGCAGTGTGTCTTGCAATTTTCAATTCGGCGCATCAGTTTGCAAGAGCTAGCATAGTTGAGCGTGCTGAGATGAAAAATTTTATCTTCAGCCAATCGGCTTGCGTGTATAAACCCACACGTCAGGATGCAAAGTCCATTGAGTTGTTAGGCGTGAGACGATTGGCTGAAGATGAAGTCTTTTATCTGGCTGGAGTCAGCTCTGCACCTCGCTTTGCTCTGCACTGCTTTGCATTGCTGCGCACTGCTTCGTGTGCAGTGTGTCACAGGCTTAAGCTGCTGGCAAGGGCAGAAATGAAGAGACCATGTTACATTGTCATGCAGGGGAACGAATAGGGTGCTTTAGGGTGTGTGGAAGGAAGGAGGTGGTTTTACTAAGAGGTACTGTATTTCATAGCTCACAACATTATGAGAGGAGAAATAGGGACACCTTTTAGAACAAAGTATTTAGGCAAAGGACACTCCCCGGTCACACCTCTAGTTTGCAGATCATGAAGAACGAATATGCAATATGCTAATATTTGGTTGAAAATGAGGGACAGTTGGGAACTGTGGATACTGGGATATATGAGGAGGACCAACATCGAAAAGAGGTACAACTGAAATGGAAAATGAAGACCAGCCACTCGGCCAGCTGTTTCTAAAGAAAAGAGGCAGCACTAAAAAAGAGTTATTTTGGCAAATGACATGAACTGAGATATTCAGCAAATTGCATAAGCTTGTATTATGCTCGGTGGTGATTAAGCTAATTTACAAAAGACAGATCCCCTTTAATATGAGCTCTGTTTCAAATGTTCAAATAAAAAGAAACTGCAAAAAAACAATATGATAATAATATCTCATAAAAGCAAGGACGCTTTGATGTCTTAGTAATATAAATGTTCTGCTGTGCATAGGACACAAATGGCTGCAGTAGAAGGATAGGAAAAAATCCCCTACGGTTTATTTAATCTGTTCATGTGTACACACAGCAACTGGCCAGCCGGTAATTATTCTTAGCACATCAAACAACATCTGTACATGTATCAGGGACTAGTTATCTAATTCTAATAAGTGCAGAGGCAACCATGTATTATACACTCCTTAGATCTAAATGATGTGAGGTTATCTTCAATTCTCTGTAGATTGCTCATGAGTCATGGTGGCTTTAAAAAATTAAATTATCCCTGAAAATCAGCCTTGACAGCAATCAGTAGGGCACGTGTCTGTATATCACATAAGAATATAAATCTAAAGCCAGTTTTTGATAGGATAGGAAAACGTTATGGTTACATTTGTGTTAACGTGAGTTAACACGTTTAAATTGCATCTCAACGCACTAAAGTTGCGCACCAGTGTTGCAGTGTGCCGCAATGTACCTGTAAGGGCAAGATGGAGGCTGCGCGCCAAAACCGGAAGTGACCGAAACCGGAAGTGGCCGAAAACCGTCGCACAAGAAGTGATGCAGCTAATTGGATCTAGCTCACTATATAGAGCGAATCTGCCCTTGCTCCTTTGCTGATGGTCTTTCTCAGCTAGTTGTTCCTGTTCCTGCTTTGCCTCCTGTGACCCAGCTTGTTTTTGGACCTTGCTATTTCGGATTGCCGCCTGCCCCTGATGTGACAGTACCATTGCGTATAGTGCTGTGTTGCCCTGCCCAAAAATGTTTTTTTGATATGTTAGGGTGCATTGGCATCACATTAATTTCAATGGACTGCCTCAACGCAAGGAACGTTAAAAGAGAACTATGGGGTAAGTGTTTTTCCCCATAGTTCTCTTAAGGGTCACTGTCAGAGACCTGCTGCTTCTGCGCATGCGCCAAGCCGCGGTTCCCGTAATGGGCCTGTGCGCATGCGCGCGCCAAGGGCTGTCCGCGGAAGAACGCTCTCCTAAAGGCTCACAGGAAGTGACACTCTCCAAAAGGCTCACAGGAAGTGATGCTATCCAAATCATTTCCTTCACTATTTAAACCCAGACTCCACACCTACTCATTGCTGGATTGTCTCTTCAACCGCCCTGACGTCTCCTGATCCTTGTTTCCAGTACCATTGATTATCGACCCGGATTGACTTTGACCTTGTTTGCCTGCAGCCTGCCTTTGACCTCGGAACGTTTGACCATTCTTGTTTGCCTATACCCTTGATTTCTTCACTGGACTGCCTACGCCTTCTCCTTTTGTACTTGCTCTGCCTGCTCGGTGTGACCTCGGCCTGTTGACCTCGGATATCAAGATTTACAAGACCCTGCCGCAAAACCAAGGAGTGGCCTGCACAGTGGAACCGCCTCTGGCCCTCCTGCCACTCACTGTCTATAAGGACTCTGTCCCCAATACCAGAGTCCCTAGGACACGAGCTGCAAGGGAAGCCTCCTCCTACATCCAGTCTCCGCACAGGTACGTGATAGTCATGGGAGGACGTATACTAGCGTCCTCCCGTGATCCAAAGCTCAGTATATCGCGAGCTATACCTCGCGGTATACTGAGACCGCCGCAGCCGGGACAATGCTGTCGAGATCCACCCAGCTGCATGAGTGACAGTTGGCTCTGCCTATCTAGAGGCAGAGCCAGCTGTACCCACCCCCTGACAGCCACGGTCCTGACTTCCATTGCCAGAATCATCATTGGATTTGTAGTTTCACCACAGCTGGAGGGCTGAAGTTTGGCTAGCCCTGGTCTAGGCTAAGATATCTGGCTAGCGGGAGCATGGTGTGAGTGTCAGTTCAGTAGTGAGTGAAGGGAGTCTATAGTTTTCAGTCAGACAGGCCTTGTCTGGTAGATCTATGGCTTCACCATATTCTGTTACAATTTCAGTTCTGCAGGCAGGATGTCACAAGGACACTGAATTTCTGGCAGGATAAACAGGTCCTCTTTTGTACTTAGAGAACATGCAAATATGCTGAAAGAAATAAAACTAATGCAGCCACACATCTAAAGTTGCAATATATAATATGTTTGTTCTTGGGATTTAATATCCTGTATTGACATGTTTACTTTAGGGACTGTCAGGGAAGATGTGACTGATAAACTTGCACTATGAGAAAGGAGCAGTGAATCGCTGTCACTGTGCGGCACTACTACGGATGAAACAAAGCTGGCAAATACCATTTAAGGATAATGGGGGGAATTAATCAAAACTGGAGCAGAAAAAATCTGGAGCAGCTAGGCATGGCAACCAATCAGCCTCTCTCTTTCATTT